CCCCATGGCCATGCAGCAGGCCATGCTGGCGGCCCACGACGACTCCCTCGACGGCACCGAGGAGGACGAGGACGACGAGGAGGACGAGGACGAGATGGAGGAGGACGAGGACGAGGAGGAGGAGCTGGAGGAAGAGCCCGGCGGCGCCCTCGCCTTGGACCACAGTGACTCCCTGGAGTAGCCAGGCGCCCTCCTCCCGCCAAAGCCCGCCGGGAAGCGCGACGGAACGGGGGGGAAAAGAGCGATTTTAGGAAAAATATAATAAAAAAAAGCTAATTTCAACCCCTCTCCGATGCCCGGCGGGGGACAGCACGACGGCGCCGGGCTCCGCTCGGACCCCACGGCTTATTTAAGTGAAGGACACGTTTACAAGGCACATATTGTGGCCATTTTGGGGAAGGTTTTCCCCCTTTTTCCCAGTTTTTTCCCCATCGGAAGCCCATCCGTGGGGCGGCCGCGCTCCTACGATGCCGTCCTCCCCCGCTGCAGTCTCCACCGCTCGGATTTCCCGGCGCAGGAAGACGGACGCCCGGTTTTCCGGCTTTTTTCGCCCCAAAAAGACATTGGAAAAAGACACCCGGAGCGCAAAAGGGATTTTGGCCGGATTTTTTCGGCCTCCCAAAAAACCCATTTGGAGACTCGATGTGCGACTTGCTGCAAAACGCCGACCCCCTTCCCGCCATCCTTTAATTTATATTAAAATGCAAATCCGGGAGGGAGAAAAACCACCATTAATAAGGGCTGCAGAATTGGGCAAAACCTGCCGTAAATGAGACTTTTTCCCCCCTTCTTTTGGTAAAAAGGCCGCCTTTTCACTCAAAACCCAACAGCGACCTGAAAACCATCTGTGAAAATTCAAGAAGGAAATTCCAAGATGCAAAAAAAACGCGGATTTAGCCCCAATATTGCTCCCTCCGCCTGCCAGGCAGGATGTGGACAGGAAAAGTCATTTTTTTCCCACCTTTTTTCCCCAAAATACAGCCCCCCCAAATAAAAAGGGGGGGGAAGCACTTCTCTGCAAAAAAACCATAATTTGGGGGATTTTTAATGCTCTCAAAAGGGGAAAATTTGCCTTAAAATGTGCAGTACCAGGGAGGGAGTGGGGATGGGAGCGAAGAGGGCTCATTTTCTCCTGCATTTTCACCCAAAATTGGGATTTCTTAAAAAACAAGGATTTTTGCAGCTGGAAGAATCACTGGTTTTAGTCCCTTTAGCCCTTTTTTGGCTTTCGGGTTGAGAAGACGCTGCTGCCGCGGGGTGAAAAAAGGGGGTTTTGGGGACACGGGGGCATCGTGATGCAAAAATGGGCCGAGACGCCTGGTTTTCGGGCCCGGTGCTGGCGTGAATGTAACCTTGCAATTTCATAAAGATTTCGTTGTAATTTAGTAGTAAATCCCCGGGCGTTTGTTATTATAAAGTGCTACGAGACGACGCTTCGCCCCTGTATTTTCTTGGGGGCTTCTGCAGCGGCCCCGAAAGCAGGAGGATAGTCCCCAAAATGCCCCTTTCCTCTGGAAACCGGAGATGCCGCTTGCTCAAATCGAGTGAATCTGCCCCAAAAGGAGCCCCAAGATGCAGGATTTTACCCTAAAATGTTTCATTTGTGCCCCCAAAATGAGTGAATCGCACCCAAAGGAGCTACAGTTCAGCAAAAGCGAGGGGTCGCCCCCAAAATCTGTGATGCTCTCCCCAAAACAAGGCATTTTTAATACCCTGTCACTCATTTTAGGGGAGAATCATGCAGTTTTGGGGCTCCAGCATCACTCGTGTTGGGGCAGAACCCAAAATGCGGCGCTCCAAAATGTGAGAGTCTTCCCCCAAATGAGTGAGTGACCCCAAAACACAGGAATTCCCCCCAAAATGACAGGTGGGGGTCAAAATATGCATGATTCTCCCCCAGATGTGTGACGGGGTGCAAGAATACATGATTCTAGCCCAAAATGAGCGAAGATGGAGCCCAAAAATGCATAGTTCTTCCCCCAAACTGTGATATGACCCCAAAATGCATGATTCTCTCTCAAAATGAGTGATAAGAGTGTAAAAATGTTAAATTTCTCCCCAAAATGAGATGAAAAAAATTCATGATTCTCCCCCCCCAAAATGGAGCCTAAAATGCATAATTCTCCCCCCAAAAATGAGTTATAGGAGGCAAAAATGCTGGATTCTTCCCTAAAATGATTGATATAACCCCAAAATGCTTGATTCTCCTCCAAAATGCAGGATGGGGTGTTAAAAATCCTCAATTCCTCCCCGAAATGAGTGATAGGATAGCGCGGTTCTGCCCCAAAATTATGGTGGAGCCCCAAAAATGCAGGATTCTCCCCCAAAATGAGTGATGGGACATTAAAAATACCCCCCCAAAGTGAGAGATTGGGGCCAAATATGAATGATTTTTCACAACAAAAGAGAAATGTGAACCCAAAACGCATGATTTTCCCCTAAAACGAGTGCTGGGGTGCAAAAAAATGCACAGTTTTCCCCACAAATGAATGATGGAGCCCCAAAATGAGCAATTCTTGCCCCAAAATGAGCAGTGCTCCCCCCAAATGAGCCAGTGTTGCCCCCAGAACGTGAGCAATACTCCTAAATGACACAAACCCTCAAAAAGAGCAATTTTTCCCCAAAAAGCAGTGATTCTCCCCCAAAATGAGCACTGCCCCCCCAAAACTAGCAATTCCCCTCCCTGAAATGAGAGGTGCGACCCCAGAAAAGAGCATTTTCTCCCCCAAAATGCACAAGTCCCTAAAAAGGAGCTCGGGGGAGACACAAGCCCATGCTGCAAAAAAAGTGCAATTTCCCCCAATTTAAGATTATTTGGGGATATTTTCCTCCTCTTTTTGCATTTGTGGCTCTTTCTGCAACCGCGGGAGCGAGCGGAGGATGAAGCAGGAGCTGGGGAGGGGGTTAATTAATTAAACCAATTAATTTATTTCTCCTTTCCCGGCAGTGCAAGGTGTGGGGAGAGGAAGGGGAAGGGGGGGGACGTCGGGCAGTGACCCGTTTTCCTCGGGTTTGGCCCCAATTTCGGCGCCGCCGCATCAGGTCGGGCAGAGAACTGCAAGAGAGAGAGTGTCACGAGGGGACACGTGGGGACAAGAGGGGACACGAGGGTGCATGGAGCATCTGGCAGGGATGCACGGACGGTGCAAGGATGATGCACGGGGAGCGTGCAAAGAGGAGGCCCAAAATGTGCAAGAATGATGCACGGGGGATGCAAAAAAGACGCAAGAATGATGCAGGGATGATGCAAAAAAAAAGATGCATGGGGGATGCACAAGCGTGCAAAAAAGATGCAAGAATGATGCATGGATGATGCAAAAAAAAGATGCATGGGGGGATGCACAAGCGTGCAAAAAAAAAGATGCAAGAATGATGCATGGATGATGCACGAGCGTGTAAGGATGATGCACAAGGGGGATGCGCATGGGATGCAAAAAGAAGTTGCAAGAGCGACGCCCGGGGATGCATGACTGTGCACGGGGTTTGCACGCAGCAGCAATGGGGATGCACAGAAGGTGCAAGAACGATGCACGAGCGTGCAAAAATAATGCACGAGGGTTTTGCACGAGGGTTTTGCATGAGGGTTTTGCATGAGGAATGCACGCGGGGTGCAGGAATGATGCCTGAGGGATGCATTAAGGTGCAAAATGGATACACAAGGCAGCAATGGAGGTGCACAAAACGTGCAGGAACAACGCACAGAGGAGGAGGGAGAATGCAAAAACGATGCATGAAAAGCCCAAGAATGATGCATGGAGAATGCACAGGTGTGCAAAACGGATGCACGAGGTGACTCCTCAAGGAATGCACCAAAGGTGCAAGAGCAATGCCTGGATGTTGCATGAGGATGCCCGAGGGAGCAATGGGATGCAGAAAAGGCGCAAGAACGATGCAGGGGTGATGTAAAAGTGTGCAAAAACGAAGCACAAGGTGGCTGCAGGGAGGGATGCTCAAAAGGTGCAAGAACGAGGCCCAGGGGATGCACGAGGGTGCAAAAAGGATGCACGAGGGATGCACCAACTTGCAAGGGTCCCCTCCATCGTTACCTTTGAGGATGTAGTCGGTCAGCAGGGTGGGCACCTTCTCGTTCCCCTCCTTCATGGCGAAGAGGACTGGAAAGGAGGGCAGGGGGCTATGAGGGGGGTTGCAACTCAGCCCCTACCCCTTCCAAATTGCCCTTCCCTCCCCCGTTTTCCATGCAAAATGTGTTATTTTTCACCTTAAACCGTGCCACAGTTTGCAAAACTGCAGGGGTTGCCCCCCCAAAAAGGAAGGGGTTCTCTCCCCAAAATGTGCTGCAATGATGCAAAATGCTGCATCATTTTGTGCCAAGTGATGCTGCTGGGATGCAAAATGGGTGATTGCACCCCAAAATGCCTGTGCTGCCAAACGGGTGCTTCCCCTTCGCCCCCTAAAATGGCCACGCTGCAATGCTGCAAAATGGGTGGTTTCACCCTAAACTGGCCATGCTGCAATGCTGCAAAACGAGTGACTGCACTCACAGCTGCACATGCTGCAAAACGGGAGATTGCACCCCAAATCGGCCATGCTGCAACGATGCAAAATGGGTGATTTACCCCAAATTGACCGAACTGCAATGATGCAAAACGCTGCCTGCACCTCGAATAGGCCGCGCTGCAACGATGCAAAACGGGTGAGTGCAGCCCAAATTGACCACAGGCCCCCAAAGCCACCCATGTGAGGACTCACTGTTGGTGAGCATCTGCAGGTCCTCGACGGAGGGCGGCGAGCCCTTCTTCTCGTAGGGAATCACCGTGTTCAGGTACTGCAAGAGTGAGAACACCCCCGAAACCCATGCAAAAATAATAATTTGATATAATAAAAACGCCCTTTTTTTGCACCGCTTTTTAATCTGGACGGGTTTTGGGGGCAAAAAAAAGGCAGAAAGGAGCCCCTGCTTGTCGGCGGTGCCGGAGCCGAACGTGTGCCGGATTCCCGACTGCAGGATGCTGGAGATGCCCTCCATGCTGAAGCGCTGCGGGAAGCGTGACCTGGTCCCCCTTCTGCGTCCATCTCCTGGTCTCCACGTCCCCCAGGTCCCTGTCCCCATCCCGGTCCCCATCCTCAGCCCAGATCCCCCATCCCCATGTCCCTTCTCCATCCTGGTGCCCATGTCCCCACGCTGATCCCCCTCCCGCATCTTTGTTCCATGTTCTCCTTCCCGGTCCCATGTCCCCATCCCCATCCTGCTCCCCATGGTCTCAGGGCCCCCATCCTCATCCCCATGTCCCCATCCTGGTCCCCATGCCCACAGCCATGTCCCAATCCCACCCTAGGGTCCCCATCCCTGTTTCTTACCCCCAAAAGTCACCATTTCACCCGTGCAATTGCTATTTTCCTCTGTGCTAATGCTATTTACCCATGCAAACACCATGCAATAATAACTACTTTGATGCACGCAATGGCTACTTAACTCCTGCAATCACTATTTTATCTGTGCAATGGCTACTTGACCTGTGCAATTACTATTTTTAGCTGGGCAATCACAGCTTTATCCATGCAATGGCTATTTTATCCATGCAATAGATATTTTATCCATGCAATGATTATTTTACTCCTGCAAACAACACCTTATCTGTGCAATAGCTCTTTTCTTTGCAATGGCTCCTTTTATCCATGCAACAACCATTTTATGGTTTCCGATGCTATTTTATGG